GCCGAGTGGTTGGTTACAGCTTGCAGGTTATTCCAAAAATGTGAACCGTCCGTGGCTGTATCAATGGCCAGAGGTTCGTGAGCGCGCTCGGACTAATACCATTGCCTGGGTCGGTGCACTACCCACACCGTTCGGCGTCCTTCGAGGGATCTTGATTGGTCGTATGTGCCGTGCTCGTCGGTTGCAGCTAGGTCGCCTCACCACCCTGTTGCATATCCAGGAGTATGTTTTGGAGCTGTTCCTTCTTGGGTATCCCCAGTACCTCTTGAGGGCACTACTGCACTCCCTGCCCAACCATCCCGCTGTCCGTTTGGCTCGAGAAAGTCTCAGATCTTGGATACGGGCCACCGCGGAGATTGACAGGCAGAAGTTTGGTCTCATGGGCAAGGGTGGTGCAGGCCGCGGGTTCCACGATGGTGGAAAAGGTCGCCCTCGTGAAGATCGTGACCGTGACAGGGACGACCACCGTGGCCAGCGGGATCGTGACCGTGATCGTGACCGACGGAGGGGCCGCCGTACCCGTTCGAGCTCCTCGTCAGGATCGAGGGACAACCACGAGGCGCGCCGTCTGGAGCGCCACAAGAGGTGGATGTACAAGCACGATCCGTCGTACGCCGCGTTCATGGACCAGCGGGAGCAGGAGCTTCGTGACATCGAGGTTCGCCGCCAGGGGGAGATCATGGCCAGGGCAATGCAGGAGTCGATCGACCGCGCGTTCCAGGAGAACAGCATCTTGGCCCACACGCCTCCGCGAGGGGGTAGTGCGGGTCCGCCGCCGTCCCCAGGGACTTCCACGGCGGCGAGCCCAAGACCAGTCCCTAGCACGAGCGTGCCGCCTGGGGTAACCGGTACGGCTGATGCAGGGGACCTCAGGAACATCAAGCGTATGCTGGTGGAGACGCAGTTTGAGAACATCTTCGAGCTGGCGGACGGGAAAGAGTCTACGTTCAAGGAAACGTTCTCCAGCTCATGGGGCAATCGCAAGTTATCGCAGATAGCAAGCAAGATTTTCAAGAAGCAGAAGATCACGGAGCCCAAGCGTAAGGATGAGAAGATCTCAGCGCTGTGGCAGTACAACCAGAACCTCACCTGAGAGATCGCGGAGACTCTCTTAGACATGTATGAGGCTGAGATCTATGCTCCAGAGGTGGAGCACTCTTTTGTGAAGAATCAATTCATGTTGTACATGAGTATCTTTATCCTAGAGCTGATAGTTGGATATTCTTCATGTACTTCGGTCGGCTGTGGGTCGCCTGTATCAGAGTTCGTGTCCGCGATTTTCTACGAATATCGTGTGCTCAATGGCCAGGCCGCACCGATTTTGTTCCCGACTTTCTCACAAAAGGTGGCAGGTAGTCTTGTGGCAGGTATATCCGCCCTTGGGATCAACGAGAAGGGAGTGAGAGCAGCTGTCAGGACCGCTCTAGGCCAATAACCAAGATGTGGTTTGCTTTTGTTTTTTTGTTGGTCCCCCTCTCTCTTCTCTCCTCTCCTCCTCCCCTCCCCTCTCTTTCTCCCTCCTTCCCTGCCCAAAAAATCCCTACGTGAGGATTGCCTCACTTGGGCCTTGGACGTTCCCCGTGCTCCGTTGGGTTCAGTGTTTTAAGGCACTGTCAGTGTGCTTGGCCCCGACCTTGGGAGGTCTGTAGTTGGGCGCGGGTGCACTACCCCTTCCCCCCGTGAGGACCAGAACCATCTTCCTCCACTCAGGTGTGTACCCGACGCCCGCTCGGACAGGATTTGCTGATGACGACTTTACTCTCACAGTCGAGTCTGACCCTATTGCGCTGTATCAATTCCCGGCGCGGAGGGACACACTTTCTTCTCGTGGGCGCGTGCGGCTCGAGGTCGAGCCCCAGGGGAGCCCGCTCTTCTCGCATGGACGCTCGAGAAAGCGCTGGCGGTCCTTCGGTTTCAGATCGAACCCCGAGCGGCTCAGTGGTGCAAGGAAAACAGATCGGGGACGAGGGCCAACGCCTACCGCCAGCCTCGCCACGATCTGCATCCCATACATCGCCTTGGAGAACACACACACACACCCACACACACCCACACACACACACACACACCCACACACACCCACACACACCCACACACACACACCCACACACACACCCACACACACACACCCACACACACACGCACGCACGCACGCACGCACGCACACACGCACGCACGCTCGCACGCTCGCACGCACGCACGCACGCACGCACGCACGCACGCACACCCACACCCACACCCACACCCACACCCACACACACACACACACGCACGCACGCACGCACGCACGCACGCACGCACGCACGCATGCGCACACACACACACACACACACACACACACGCACACACACGCACACATGCACACACGCACACATGCACACACGCACACACGCACACACGCACACACGCACACACTCACACACTCACACACTCACACTCACACACTCACACACTCACACTCACACTCACACTCTCACACACACACACACACACACACACACACACACACACGCACACGCACACACACACGCGCAGGAAGCACGCACAAGACAAGGGGAGACAAGACGGAAGCGGGAGACGGGAGGCGGGAGAGGAGGAGAAGGACGCGACCACAGTGCTCTATTCAAAACGAATACCCAACCAATGAGGATTGGGGAAAACATTGATGTGCTGTAGCGGTTCCAATGTTGCGTGGGTTCTCCCCCTTTTCGAGCTTCTGACGCCCCTAGACGGCCCAGGAAGCCCAGGAGGCCCCAAAGACACCCCCGAAATGGTTCACGAGGCCCTCAAGAGAGCTCCAAGATGGCCAAAGAGGGCTCCAAGACAGCCCAAGAGGGGCCCAAGACGGCTCCAAATGAGGCCCAAGAGTGGAAACACGAACCAAGAAGTCAAGCCTTCTGCCGCAACAGGCCGCCAGCAGGCTCACATTGTCTTCTCGAATAGCTGCCACCCAGAATGCTGCGCTGGCACGGTGGCGGAATCGTCGGAGGCAGCTGGATCAAACATGTCAGAACGATACATCACCACTCCAGTGTTAAAACGTATGGATACGCGCCACCTTCGCGCATGTTATAAGAAAGATGATGGTATGGAGCCAACTGTTGCACACTGTCTTGTTTCTTCCTGGGACTCCGGGGACGGCCCCGAGAAGACCCGAAGACGGCCCAGAAGACCTCCAAGACGCCAAAGATGACCTCCAAGACGGCCCTGAAGCGCCAAGAGGCAGGGGAGCCCAGAATCGAATCGACAAGTCGGATCGGAAGTCGACATGAATCAAATCGGCGGAAATCGGCAGCCGAGTCGGGAAAAGTCGAACCGACAGAAATCGGCAGGCTAACGTGCGTCCAGTAAGACATCGGAAACAAAATCAGAATCGAATCGAATCGGAGGAATCGAAACGAGCCGTGAAGATTTGGAGTCCCGAAACGGTGCGGTGACAGATCGTGCGGTGACCTCAAAATCCCCCAAGACCTCACCGCACGGTCCGTCAACGCACGGTTTTGAGAGTTCGGATGCCCCAGTCGCCCGAGACGTCCTCGGAGAACGACCCGAGTCCCAAAAGCATGCGGTGATCCCGAATCCCCACCGCCTCACCACACGGTGTGGTCACCGCCCCGTTTGGGGGCCCCCGAGAAGAGGGTCCCAAGTCGGCCCAGAGAGGCCCCCAAGACGGCTTCCGACGGCGTCACTCGGGCCAGGAGCGCCCCCAGACGAGCGAACATTGCGCAGCGCCCGCCCCGAAGGTGGCCGCCAGCAGGCCTCCCGAGGGTGCCCCAAAAGATCCCAAGGGGCCTCCTCGTCCTAGTCCTTTTTCCCCCTCGTTCCTCCCTCTCGTCCTCTTCCCATGCCTCCCCTAAGTGTGCCCCGAAGGGCCTCCACAACGGACGGGGGAACACACAGTCCGATAGCGTGGCCGAGCTCTGGCCAGAACGGTCGGCCACAAAGGGCGCTTCCAAGAGGCTCGATCGCCCCCACAGTTGCGGACAAGAGTGAGGGGGCGGGGAGGTCGTCGGCATTCTGCGAGGCTCGGAACAGAGATGAAGCAGCCCGCCGCCGGCGCTTACCTTTCACACACTGCGCAACAAGCCCGGCGCGAGCGCCGATTTTGTGTCAAAACTATGTGGGTGTGTCGCGGGCGAAACGCGGGTGGGTCGAGGGCGGGTCGCGGGCGGGTCGCGGGTGTGTCGCGGGTGGGTCGTGGGTGGGTCGCGCGTGGGTCGAGGGCGGGTGGCGGCCCCGACATGTTTCAAAGTGGCCTCAACATCCCTGAAGGGACTCGCACATTGTTCAAAGAGGCCCTAGGAGGGCCCCAAGTCCCCAGAGGAGCCCAAGATGCTCCAAGGGTCCCGAAACAGCTGCGAGTGAGCCCCAAGACAGGCCCGAATGCTGTGCCATACGCCTGTCTCCCAGAACGCTCATTTGTTGGCAGATGCGAGCGTGCGCGTGCCAACTCCCAAGCAGGCACCAATATGACCCCACGAGGGCGCCCCAGAAGAGCCAAACAAACCACAAACATACGCGCGTCGAGGCCATAATCCAACCAAACACTGGCCTCGTCCCCTCCTCCTCCACCTCCGCTGTGTACAGCTCATTCCCCCCTCCTCATCCTCCGAATCCCGTGTGGTGCCAAGGCCTGCTAGTGAGGGGGTAACCCCAAATCTTCTCCTACGAACACCTGACTTTGGCCGCAGCGAAGCTCCACCACCACCACCACAACGTCCGCATCTCAGGCTGCACCCGAGCAACTCGAGGCATCGTCGCGGCTCACCTGTAGTGGGGTCGGCGGGATGATCGGGGGCGGCCAAGAGGGGGGTTGTCCAAGAGGGGAGCACAAATCATGGCCGGCGGCATGTGCGCGGCCCAGGGGGGGGGCCGGGGACGTATTGCCATGAAATCAGGGGAGGTATCATGGCCCCCATCCATGATATCCACCCCCCTAGTCTTCACCCCCCTCTTTGCCGCCCCCGAGATGGCGCAGGCCTCCCGAATAGATCATGGACGCTGGGACGGTGGGCAGGTACTGGGTCACCAGCCACATGGGCCCGTATTCGACGCCGAAGCCGACCACGGCCGGCAGCGTGGCGCTGAGCGCGGGCGTGACGAACCACTCCACCGCCAGCGCCGACCCAAGCGCGCCCAGGTCGTCGAGGGACTTGGACGCGAAGGTCATGAAGATGAAGAGCATCACGTACAGCTCGGTGCCGTAGTCCACGAGGATGTTGTGAAGGTACCAGGCCACCGTGGCGAAGTAGAGGGCGACGGACTGCATGATGGAGGCCCTGCCGCAGAGGCTTCGCAGGTCGCGCGTGCGCATGAGACCCACGCTGCCTGAGGAGATCTTCCAGAAGAAGCCAGAGCCGGCACAGAACTGCACCTCGCGCCCCTTCTCCCACTCAAGGATGTCGGTGTGCAAGGACCGCTCGTCGCGGGCGTTGACGTTGAGGCCGGCGAAGATGTCCTCGGACAGGTTGATGTGCGGCGAGGCCTTGGACACGGAGCCGCGGTTCGAGGCCCAGAAGCAGTCCATGAAGTCTGGGTGGCCGTAGTGCATGCGCACGTTGAGGAAGCCCAGCAGCCGCTGCACCAAGGTGCCGAACGTCCACTCGGCGTCGGCCATGATGGTGCCCACGAGCCCGTGCGAGCGCGTGAAGATGTGCTCGCGGAAGCCGATGATCCTCGCCCGCAGCGCAAGTCGGTGCTCGGAGCTGCCAGCCGTGGGCTTCGGGTAGAAGCCCTGGAGAACCACGGGCACCTTTGCAGGAGCAAGGCAAGCTACATGAACATGTACTTCAGGAGGTCCGCGCGGATTGCTTGGATCTGCGCTGGACCCCCCTCTCCCCTGGCGCGCAAGGCGCGCCAGGGGCGGCGCCGTAAAGGGGGGGCTCAGCGCCGATCGAAGAAATCCGCGCGGGCCTCGGAAAGCTTGTATTTGTACTGTCTGGTCTTCCTGGAGCCTTGAACGACTCTCCCGAGTAGCAGCCCATGTTGGCGTCCATCATCTGCAGGAAGTGGCCCTCGGCGAAGCGCAGCGCGCCCAGCTGGTTCCCCGATTTGCCCTGCGTGAGGTTGCCCTCGGAGCCGATGAGCAGCCCGCGGGCCCGCGGAAGCACGTGGACCACCTCGACGGGCCAATCGTCCTGCTGGTGCTCGTCCCGTCCGCCGACGCGGAAGTAGCGGTACTTGATGAGAACACTGGCGTACCTGAACATCACACCCTCGTCCTTGCTCGTGCTCCGCACGTGCTGGTCGATCAGCTCCTCGAGGCGCGGGTGCGTCTTTCCGCGGTGGAAGTCGATGGCCACGAAGAACGGGCAGCCCTTGTGCTTGCTCAGCATGTAGTGCAAATCCTGGTCGCGCTTGCTCGAATCCACCTTCTCGCACGTCACCTGGCCACCATTGGCGGAGCAGCCCACAAGTGTCACACTTTGAGCGTCCAAGACACTGTCAATCGTGTAGAACGCCCCGCTGACGAAATCCTTGAAGTTGGTGATTGCGGCCGGGCCCGTGTGACTCATAGCGCCAACCTCGCCAAGCCGCACCTCGCCGTCCGCGACCTGGTGCAGGCCACTGGCGGCGGTGATGGCCGCGATGAGCGTCTGCTTCAGCGTGCTGCTGGATCCGAGCTGCCCCTCCAGGTGCGCGACCGCGGCGGACTGTGGCAACGTGATCGTGCACTCGACGCTGATGGCAGGCCCAGAGGACTCCTGGGTCCAGCCCAAGATCCCTAACAGCCCCCTCTCGGCGCCAGCTGCGCCCTCCACCGCCGACATCGTCAGCGCAACGTTCTCGAGACTGATCGCGTCGGCGCTCTCGGCCACAACCGACTCCTTGATCGCGGCCTCCAGTGCCTTCGTGGCAGCCTTGTCTGCGGTCAGCTTGGCATGGTCCACATTGACGATGGTGAGCGAGAATACGAGGCAATGAGGGCGATCCCTGCTGCCAGCCGACGTTCTCCCCAGCATTGTCGGCAGACCACCCGCGCTGCCGTCGCTGGGCGGCGGCCCCTTCGGACTCAGGTTGCTCTTGAACTTGTCGACCACCTTCTTGAAGGTGAAGGCCCCCGCGAGGTCCATGGAAGAGCGCGCCTGCAGGGACAGGCGCACGGTGTCGCCTGGCCGCAGCCCGTGGGCCCCCCGGAAGGCGAGCGTGCCGCCGCGGAGCGTGGCCCGGGTGGCCCTGGACAGACTCACCTTGCCGTACGTCTGGTGCGCCAGGATGAGCTGCACGCGGCGGCGCACGTCCTCGAAGCCCACGCCCTCGCCGCGGTTCAGCAGCAGCTGCAGGGCCTTGTGGTAGTGCACCGCGCCGTTCACGGTGCGGATCACCGACTGGGCGCGGTGCGACGCCCACTCGCGCACCAAGTCCTGCTCCTGCGGCGTGCACCGCCCTACGGCCAGCCTGTGGTACAGCTCGGTCGGGTGCAGCCCGACGGTCTCGGCGAAGATCTTCCACTCGTCGGGGAATTGCGAGACCAGGAACTCGAGCGTGGTGGCCACGGAGCCGCCCGCGGGCTTGCCCAGGAGCTCCTTGATGCTCATGATCCCATCCTCGCTGTACACCGGGATGATCTGCGTCAGCGAAGGTATGCGGCCCGGGTGCGTGACGCCGAGCGCGTCGCAGTGGACGTCGCGGTCGTTGCCGCAATAGGGCGCGAAGCCGATCTCCTTGCTGGACAGGATCTCCCGGTGGCTTGCGAACAGGTACCCGATGCGCTGCATGGCCTGCGGCAGGATGCGCAGCGACTCAGAGTCTCTCAAATCCACCTTGCCGCCGCTCTTCGCCACGTTCAGCAGCTGGTCACGCACTGGCTGGTTCACCAAGCAATCGTCGAAGAGCCCCTCGACCATCACGGCCCACACCTTCTTCCAATCCTTTCCGTAGATGGCGTGCAGCACGGTGCCGTGTGACACCCACCCGGCCTCAGACTTCCGCTGCCTGTCAAACTCCGACGACAGCGTGTGGACCGAGAAGTCCAGCGAGGAGATGTTGGTTTCGACGAGGCCACGGGCAACGCCGAGGGAGGACCCAATGAAGGACACGCAGCAGTTGAAGATGAAGTAGGGCATCAGGAGGCTGCCGACGGCCGCAAGCAGCCAGGACGAGACCACGCTGGTAACGCAGGCGACGCACTGCGTGTCCGCCCACATGATGGATGGAAGTCCGCTGCCCAGGATCAGCTGCCTGGTCTCGCAGAAGTCGTCGTCGTTGTCGCCGATCTGACACATGTCCTTCGGGGTGATGGACCTGGCCATGTCTGCGAGCACCCCGTAGTAGGTCACGAAGCAGATGAGCCCGAAGACGACCCAGAAGGTGCCGATCCGCTTGTGGCGCCCCTGACCTGCTGACTCGTTGAACCTCAGGCGCTTCCCCAGACCATGCTTGGGCAGCAGCCCGAAGGCGAACCGCAGCAGCAGATAGGCGAGCGGCGCGAACCAGAAATCGGTTCTGATAGTCTGGGGGCTCATTCCGAACGTGTCCTCGAGGCCTGCCAGATCGTCAAGTGCCTGCAGGTCGCCCTCGACCCATAAAACCATCAGCGTCAGGGGTACCAAGACGATGAACTTGCACAGACTCCAGAGGCGCTGGAAACCGAAGATGGGATGTCTGATGTTGACGGAACTGACCGGGGTGTGCACGAACAAGCCGCAGAAATTCACGACGCACTGAAACGCGAGGTCCACTAGCAAGACCAAAAAAGCGGAGAAGCGCGTGTCGCTAGCAGCCACGTTGCCAGAGAAGGTGGAGTCCACGTCGCGCAGGTACAATGCAATGGCAAGCAACCACAATACCATAGTGAGGGGCCACTGATAATTGACCACGGTATTGCATAACACCAATTGACCGATGGGCTCCCGGAACGTCTTCGTGAGGCCCAAAGGCTGCGGTGCCCCCGGATTCGACAAACCATGGTCGTTCATGTCGTCGAAATTTATCCCCTGCCTTTTCGCGAATACGTTGGAGTTCCGGCAGAACTGCTGTAAAGGTTCGCATAGATCTGCATAGTCGATGTCGACGCTGAACTCGCAGGGCGCATCCCCCGATGCTGGGGCCATTTTCAGCGACCCAAGTGCCTTCTGGTATACGCACGCAATCCACTCCGGGGCGTGGATCAGGTGCTCCCCCACAGACTCCAGCAAGCGCAACAGCAGCGCCTCCGCAAAGTAGCGCTGGAAGCCGTCTTCATCGTACTCCAGGGGCCCGCCTAGCCCATGCAGGTCCTGCCACTTGTGAGCCCCTTCGCAGGCTCGCCTCCAGACGTTGTAGCAAGCCTTCCTGGGGAAACCAAAAGGTACCGACACCGCTGCTCCCCCAGAGCTCTCCCGAGGCGCTTTCTGACCAGGATGTCGAGGCGAAGCCAGCGGTGGCGACGAGGACCTCCCAGGAGGCCGACAAAGGGGAGAACGAGCGAAGGGATAGAGGTGTGGGCACCTTTTCCTCCTCTGACTTCCGCTGGGTGGAGCTCGCCTCGTGGCTGGGCAGCTGCAGGCGGGTGGCGGCACGCGCGCGCTCCTCGCCAGCCTCCGAGGCCTGCTGCCGCTCGAGGCCGGCCAACAGAGCCTCCGCCTCGTGTCGGGTCGGGCACGTCCCCCTACAGGCAGATCTTGGAGGAACAATTAGAACATCAGTTTGAAACATACTCAAACATGGCCAAGCAAATACTGACAAGAACACGTTCCATACTACTGTTTGGCCATGTTTGAATATTCCTCCTGTAGAGGGACAGGCCCGACTTCGGCCTCGTGCTCCAGCTGCCTTCGGAGGCGGTCGCCCTGCACGTGCGCGTGGGTGTTGGCCAGGATGGCCAGATAGCGCTGAACGTGCGCTGCAACGTCCTTCAGCCAAGAGCCAATGTCCTCGTACTGGCTCAGTCTGGGCCCATCGTCCACCACCCCGCTGAGGAAAGAGGGGCTCCCCCGGTACGCCAACCGCACCGTGAACCTGAGGTCCACCCCAAGGCAATCGACGGTCGTTTCGCCGACGCCTACTACGTCCTCGATCTGCGAGAACTTGCCCGCCGCGTCCAGCATCTCCAACAACTGCTCGCGGGTCACCGTCCTATTGCCGATCAAATCGCTGCGCCTGAGCTCTTCTTCTGTGAAGCCGTGGACGGCAAGGGTGCGGTCCGACTGCTCCTGCAGCCACCTCACGAACATCTCTTCCGTCTCCCACCGCTGCACCGTCTGCCCCCGCCCAAGACCGTCGTACTGCAGGCGGTGATACGAGAACGCAGCGCCCACCTTCGCAGGATCAACCAGCATCGAATCGCGAAATCGGAACGGATCGGATCGGAACGAGCATCGAATCGGGCTGCATCGGAGCGGATTCAAAATCGATTCGAATCGGCTGCGCCCCGATGCACAAATACGCTGTGCAAACATCGGGCCACACCAGTTCGAGGGGAAACCGAAATCTAATTGGATCGAGCCAGGCGAGCTCGACATCGAATCGGATTGATCGAGAAGAAACTGGTGGGGACAAAAAGGTACCGATACCGCCTCTTCTCGGGTCTCTCCCTGAGCGCATCCTGGCCAGCATTTCAAGGAGAATCCAGCCGTGGCGACGATGGCTCTCCAGGACAAGCGGCGGCATCGGTACCTCTTCCTCCCCTTAATGTTCGGTATCTCCGTCCGCGCAAGTTTTCGGGCCGTAATCTGGGCACCCCCGGAACGCTCTCGGCGAGGCGCAGCTGCTTGAACGCACACCGAGATTGAAAAACCGCCGAGATCCAACGAGAACGCCCGAAAACCTCTAACCTGAGACCAAAAGGTACCGATTCTGCTACATCTCAGACCTCTCCGGGGGTGCGTTCTGACCAGGATTTCGAAGCGAATCCAGTGGTGGCGACGAGGGCCTCCCAGGAGGCCCCAAACAGGGCAAAACGGGCGAATGGGTAGAGGTCTGGGTACGTGTTCCTCCTCTGACTGGCGTTTCTGCTGTGGGCTCTGCCTTCGCGAGGCCCCAGCCGGAGTAGCCGACGACGTGGTCGTACCTCACGGGCACCTGCAGGCCCTCGTCGCCGAGCGCCTCGGCCACCGCGCTCGCCAGCAGCCTGCCAAACGGCACGGCGCTGATGCCGTCGAGTACGCGCTTCGCGGCGGCCGACTGCAGCGCCAGGGTCAGGTTGTGGTCGCTCACCCTGGGCTCCTCCGCGTCCTCAAAGAAGCAGCAATCTGCAACAAAAACGCAAAAACGTTCGGAGGCCCACGCGGACCTGTTGGGTCCGCGCTGGGCCCCCCCAGCGGCGCCTCCAGCGCCGATCCAAGAAATCCGCACGGACCTCTGAAAGCTCATGTTCATGCATGTGTTTCTTGTTCGAGTCCTGCCGGCTGCCGCGGCAGCAACAGCAGCCCAGACAGCACGAGAGGAGAGTCAGCGACACCGTCAGGGCCATCGCGGTGAACCACGCGAGCACAGGCAGGCCCGGCCTCAGCCAAACCGGGCGGCAACGATTCAGCTGGCCGTACTCCCCATCGATCCCGAAGGGCAACCACGCCACGGACTGGATGACGTCCTCGCCCGAAAGCTCCTGAAACTGGAACCGGTCGCTGCCTTCCACGCGCTGGTCGATGCAATGCACCAGGAACGTGTCGAACTGGCCCATGATGCCGAGGAAGCCGACGGCGATGGTACCCGCATCGCTGGATGGGCCACAGGCGGAGTGCTTGAACTGGGACGAGACTTGATCGGCGCACTCGTCGTACGCCAAGTCCGCGCTCCACACGTCCACCCACTCGTCGACGACTGCCCCCCGCACGCAGGACGCGCCGCCCTGGTCAGATACGTAGGGTTTGAGGCCATCCCACACCTGCCCCAGCAGGGCGTGCTGCTGCGCGGCGTCCATCACGCCTGTGGGAGACAAGGCGGGGAAACCGTACTCAAAGACGACGGGCTTCATCACGCCCGAGACCTCTTCGAGCGCGACGCCATCACCCTGCGCGGAGTCCCCGTCGAGATACTGCCGAGCCGGATGCCACGCCCTGACGAGGTCAACCATCTTCTCCGCCTGCACTTGCGAGGCGGCAGTGACGACCTTGACGACCCACGCGTCAAAGAAGCCGCGCCCGTTGAAGCGGCAGTGGCTGAGCGTGTCGTTGAAGGTGACCGATATCTCGACCTGCCTCTCGGAGACCTGCCTGCATCCGAGCACGCGCTCCATCCAGTACATCAGGCCGTTAATGTAGTCCACGTTCTCGCTGTAGGCCAGCGAGAAGTCGGGACCCAGTTCCACCGTCAGCGACAACGGCCTGTCGAAAGTGAACGCTCCCACCTGGTCGTCGTCCTTCTCGCAATCTGCAGGCACGTAGGGGCCCTGAGTGCAGAAATACCTCTTCTGCTCAGTCCGGATGGTCTCCAGGATCTGCTGAAATTCCTCCATCGTCGCCGTGGCGTCGGCAAGCCCGGTGCTGTCGAGGCAATTCCTGAAGTTCTTCACGGACGATACCGCACCACCAAAGCACTGCCGTGGCAGAAGGAGTGAGATGTCGGGAAGGCCCACCACGTTCCACATCAGCACCGAATCCGGGGTGTAGGGCCTGCTGGACCCGACCCGCTCCGCGGAGTTCTCCAAGAAACTTCTGAAGTCCAGCTGCAGGCTTGCGCTGGTGCCGTCGGTCTGCCAGTTGCCATCCGCCCAGTACCAGGCGATGTCGAACGAGGGGATGACGTTGAGATTGTTCGTCTTGGCCTCTGCCAAGAAGTCCGAGTGGCTCGTGGAGTCGATGGACCATGGGCCAAGAAGCACCGCATCCGCCCCGAGCTCGTTCCTCATCAACGGCAGGTCACGGCTGTGGAGCGCGGCGAAGCTCAGCGTGTACGGGTCTTTGTTGCTTTGGTTTATGAACGCACTCTTGTACCCAATTGGCTCAGGCCAGTACTTCACAGCGCGCATTCCATCAATGGATCCCGTGTTCGTTTCGTCGCCCTCGTTCAACTCCACTTTTTCGAAGCCAGCGCACCCGCAATCCTGCTGAGAGCAGCCAATAGCAGGTAGTGTAGGCCTGATTTGCACCCACTGTGGGGAACTTCTGTCGGCGGCGATGAGGCTCGCCAAGAGAAGCGCCGCAGCGGCCGACGAACGTAGGAGGGACACCATGAGGCGTGCAGAAAGAGGTCTGGGCTGTTGCCAGCAAGAAGAGCTCGTGTAAAACACGAGGCCTCCAGGATACTTCTGATCTTCAAGCTTGAGCCCAAATTGGCACGGACGGGTAGCTCGGCGACGAAGACGACGACGACCACGAGAACAATGAGTAGGAGAAGGATGCGCCACGAGAGCTTCCAAGTTATGTTGCGTAGCATGTGGCGCTGCTGTCGCACAGCACCATGCTGACACCTCCGGCCTCCTGTTCACAGAGCTTGCCCGAGGAAGAGTGGTAACTCCGAGTGGTAGAAGAGGGCATATGAGTGGCAACGATAGGGGGGGATAGGCTTAGGGGGGGAGCATTGACCTAGAATCGACGATACATCGCCGATAGATCGGCGATAGGCCTCCGATAGTGAATCCGCACCTTCCTGGGCAGGTTGGGGCTATCGGGCCCCTATCGGCGATCAATGGGCGGTTGGGTGTCGATGCATCCCCCCCTATGCCCGTCCCCCCTTTTCGTTGCCCCTGAGTATAGGATAGATAGAAGCACTTGGGAGCATGAGAGCGCCTGGTGTGCAAGAGCTGCGGCGCCGTGGCCTCACAGACGCGGCAGGCCCCCACGCCTCCAAGACCCAATCTGGGGGCACGAACTGCGCACACCGCCCCCGCAAACAAGCTGTCCAGCATAAAGTACGCGCACGGGGGCGGTGGCCCCCCCGGCAGCCAGCAGGGACCGTGTGATCCGACGACGCGAAACAAAAATCAACACCGAGGAAACATCACGACTGGAGCCCCGGACCCCATCTTTTCAGCGGCACTCCCCGGGCCGAATCGATCTGCGACGGCCCCGGCGCCCCAAATGATGCGAAAACGCCCAACTCGACAAAAATACGGTTCCATGATCTCACAGGAGGCGAGAAAGGGTTGAGCAGGGACCAAACGTCTCTGTATTTCTATAGGCCTACCACGAAATTTTCTGAGAGAACAAAGATGTTTGAATGACAGACGCGAAGCGCTCAGAACATGGAGCAGACGTATGAAAACAAAACGGTTTCGGCCAGAAATGCCTCGAAAGCACCTCGTGCAAACCACAGGCGGCTCTCATACCATTCGTGGGTGGGCCGATAGGCAAGTCGGGACGCGTCGCCACTGCCTCAGGAAAGGGGGGGGGGGCGAGGGCACGCGAGGCTCAAGTCGGGCATGTCCTCCTACAGGCGGATTTGGGACGGAAAATTAAAACATGGGCACAAAAAGAATCCCCCAATCAAACATAGCAACAAACAAAATCGTCCCCATATTCTTTTTTAAACACTATGTTTGAACACTCCTCCTGTAGAGGGACGTGCCCGACCTAACGCGAGGCGGAACGCAGCCTCGGAGCCGCTCGCGGGGGCTCGCGCAGCTGCCGCCGCACCCGGCGAGGCGGGAACAGCTGCACCGCAAGCCCGCGCCGAACCGGGGGCGGAGCAGGCACGCAGGTGGCGGCGCGCCCCGGAGGCGCACCGGCCTCGCCAGGACGCCTCGGCGACCAGGGGCCCACTTGGGTAACCCCATCGTTTCCCCTTGTATAGAACAGCGCGCGAGCCCCGGGAAGGGCACTTCAGTTGAAAAAACACCATGTGCCCCGGGGGGGGATCAACAACCCCAACCCCAACAACAACACCACCTCCTCCACCACCACCACCAACAACACCACCAACAACAACAGCAACAACAATCATTCTAAGACTGTTCGCTCTTACTTGCCCGCGTGCCATTCAAAACGAGTTCCCCACACCCTCGATAACCGCCCTCTTTGTCTTCGATCACACCCCCTTTGGGGGGATTGTTTCTCTTTGCGGGGGGCGGCGGGCTTAGACAGGCGGGCAAACCTGAACGGGCGGACAATCCTTCGTGGGCGTACATGTGCCCGCCATTGGCTGCAAAAAGAGGAGGGGGAGAACGAGGGAGAGTGGGAGGAAGGGAGGGGGAGAGACGAAGGAAGAGGGAAAACGCCAGGAGAGAAGAAGCGAAGAGGGGGGGGGTGATTAGAGGCAGTGTGAGAGAGGAAGACAGATAAGAAGGGTAGAGAAAAAGAGAGAGAGAGAGGGGAGAGAGAGAGAGAGAGAAAGAGAGAGAGAGAGAGAGAAACAAAAAAAAGAAAGAGGGAGGGAGGAGGCAGGAGAGGGGAGGGAGAAGGGAGGAGGGAGAGGAGGGAGAGAGGATAGGGCAGAGAGGCATAAGGATGAGGGAAAAGAGGAGGGAGAGAGAAGGGAGGAGAGGAGGGAGGAGGGAGGAGGGAGAGGGACGAGGAGCAGGAAGGTAAGCGTGAACGTTCGAGGACGTCCTCGGCGAAAGCACCGTTCCTGAAGGAAGTCTCGGGCGGGAGCCCACGACGGGCGGGCGATCCCCTGACGGGCGGGTCGGGCGGGTGGGACATTCAAGCGGGATGCCGGAGTATGGCGAGAGCGCGATTACTAAGTAAATTGTAACGGCGTCCTTGGCGCAGCGTGTTTCCTGAGCGTCGAAAGCTCGATTTCTGAATACACTGCATGGAAGTCACAGGCGAGAGCGCAATTCCTGCATAACATGTGAAAGGTTCTCAACAACAACAACAACAACAACAACAACAACAACAACAGCAACAACAACAGCAACAGCAACAGCAACAGCAACAGCAACAGCAACCACAACAACCACAACAACCACAACAACCACAACAACCGCAACAATCACAACAACCACAACAACAACAACAACAAAAACAACAACAACAACAACCACAACAACAACAACAACAACAACAACAACACCAACAACAACAACAAGAACAACCACAACAACAACAACAACCACAACAACAACAACAACAACAACAACAACAACAACGACGAGCCTGGGGGTCCCAACAGGCTTGTCGAGAGGCCCAAGGGGCCAGTCGGAGGGCCAGAGAGGCCTGTCGGGAGGGCCCAAGAGGCCTGTCGGGAGGGCCCAAGAGAGGCCAGTCGAAGGGCCCAAAACGGTTGCCGGAAGGCCCAGGGAGGCTTGTCGGAGGGGCCAAGAGGTCTGTCGGAAGGCCCAAAAGGCCTGCCGGAGAGGACCAAGAGGCCTGTCGGGAGGCCCAGGAAACGCACCACAACAATTGCTAGCTTCAAAGCCGAGCGTATTGAAATTGCTTCCCAGAAATGGACCCCCCTCCGTCGGGGATTGAAGCTGTCTGCTGGGGATTGAACCCATCGCGGGGGAGAGGGGGTGGAAGGCAAGCTAGGTGCGCCCGTGTCGTACCTGACGTCATACATCGTCATACCCCCCTCCCTTCCCTTACCATGGGTAGATATACTACCATGGCCGAGAACACAAAGATCGAGCCAACGACGAGACGGGAACGCCATTGTGGAAGAGCCCTCTCCCCCTCCCCTCCCCCTCTGCGGGCGGAGAGAAATGCTGGCCCGCCTCTCCAGCTCGGCGGCCGTGTCCCCCCGCGCCTCGGGGCGCCAAGGGGGGGAGGGCCGGGGGGAGGCGGCGCAGGGGGGGGAGGGGACGGAGGGAAGGAATAGCATCGAGCAGGGGGCACGCAGGGGGGGAGGGAAGGGGCCGCAGGGGAGTGGGGGGAGGCAGAAAAGGTGCGCTCGCGTCATATCTGACGTCCTGCCACTCCCTCCCATCCCTTACCATGACGTAGATCTTCTCTTTATTCGCACAGCCGGATGTCCAGCAGGGCAATGATCGCGAGAGGGTGCGCGATGCATCGTAGAGCACTGCATGGGACGGCGTAGAAGAGCGCGGCAGAATGTATCATGTCATAGCATGGCGTGGCATTGCGTAGTGAAGCATTGCATCACAAAGCGTTGCAACGCAAAGCATGGCATTGCACAGCGGCGCATAACAGAACACCGCGCAGCATGTCATGGCATGGCACTGGGTTCCTTGGAGGGTAAATGGATAGTCTTCGAAGGGTCGCGGCAGGTCTGGAGTCGCGGCTCCATGTTTAGCTCCCTGGGCTCCGCGACAAGCTCCACACAAGGCGGGGCTGATGGAGAGCACTCGCTGGCTCTGCTTGCAACATCGCGTTCTGGAAGCAGAAACGGGACTCCCGCTTGATACTTCCTCCAAACGCCGCCGCCCCGAAGCGGGGGGGCCTTCTGCGGCGCAAGAATCAACGAATCGATGCCGGATGTGTAGTCACTTGCGATGGTTTTTCTAGGGCGAAGTTTCTAGATTTGGGGCCTATTTGGAAGGACCGAAAACGCCCGCGTTGCAGCGGGAGCACGTTTTGGAACAAGTAGAGGCGCAGAAATGGGGCCAGCGCTGCAGCGGGAGCAACATTTTGAAGCCCCGAATCGGATTGCCCAAAAAACATATGAAAACAAGGAAATGGAACCAACGCTGCAGCGGGAACACGATTCGGAACGAGCGGAAGCGCGGAAATAAGGCGAGCGCTGCAGCGGGAGCACGATTCGGAACGAACAGAAGGCCGAAAATGAGGCCATCGCTTCAGCGGGAACAACATTTCGAAACAAACAAACAAGCGAAAACCCAGTTCCCGGGAGTTCTGTGTGTAAAGAACAATACGCGGAGTGGGGGCGGATATCTTCTGGACGTCGTCAAGGGAGAGAGGGGAGTTGTATTCATAGTGTAGTTGTGAAGGATTGCCGAGTATCGAGCTGTCCGACGCTGTCGTTGAAAGACAGATATCACCGACCGCGGCTCCGCCGCGTGGTCTTGCTTAGAAGCTTCGGCCACGTGGCCCGCCGCCAGCCTGTTGAGGTATTCACGGCGATTGGGCTTCTCAATGCTCCTCGCACGGGGCCCCTAGACCACGCAATTGCCGATCCCCAGAATACCCGCACGTCATACGGAACCCGCAAAAAAAAGGAGAATGGGGCGGGGCGAGAAGGGAGGGGTAGGGGAGGAGGGAAGAGGATCCAGCAGGAGGGCGGACTCTGGAAGTCGGGCCATCGACCGTCAAGAACTGCTCGGGATCAGGAGCAACTTTCCGTAAAAGGGTACCGCTAGCAGGGAGTCCACGATAT